ATGTATTCCTTGACTGTAAGATCTTAGTACTAATAGTATTAACAGATCACAGTATAGAAACCTTACATCCATGCTTTATTCTGTTACCCTTGCATCATAAAATAATATAAATAAAAAAACAATGAATTAGAGAATACGAGAATGAAAATTCTATGCTGGATAGAGCAAAATTTCATAATACCTGTAATTAATACAAATTTTTTTCTCTATTTTTAAGCCTAATACATTTTACTTATTTAGATTTTCTTTTATATCTTTTGATAAAGTTTTATAACATTTTAGCAAGCTCTCAGAAATCTATTATTTTTAAAACATAATCAGGATGAACAGAAAAAGTAAAATTTTCATTTTTTTTCTCCAGATTTTCTGAAGCAAAAGCCCTGGGAGAAAGTATAAATGAAGCAAGACGCACAATTGGTAAGCAGATGCCATTCTGTGAGCCTCTTTCACAGATCATTCTCCTGGCGAAAATCAGGTCATGATGTGCCTCCAAATATCCATGAAGCCTAGTTTCGGGAGAACCCCTGCCAAGGAAGCTGCTTTGAGAGGCTTTCCTTGGAAGTTTGTCATCTCTCCCACAACCCATCAGGAAAAGCACTTTCTTTTGTCTAGAACTTGAACTTTTTATTCTTGTGCAGGCCTGAGCTCCAGCATCTCAATGAGAAAGTTCTGTTTTTCCCTGGTTTTTCAACAATAGTTCAGCTAGTCATAACCCCAGATTACAGTGACATCATTTTGCATTTTCACGTACTGTGAAACACTTTCATACCTCCCAACGCTTATACTTAGCATTTTTGGCACAGATACGCATTTTTCAGCACCATTCAGTAAGCCAGTGAGAGGATGAGGAGCAAAAATGAGCCATCGTGCCTTCCCCGGGGTGCAGGCTGCTGCACAGGGCTCCCTCACTCACGTGAGCATACCTGAAAAGGTGATGTCATGGCACTCGATAAAGTGTGCCTCAGATCTTTCTCGGCACAAGAGGAAGATGTTTCTTTCACCCCAAGCTAGAAGACAGAACAGGACTATCTCCCAGGCTCAGGGCAGCTTCACAGAGGGGATTCCCCATACCTTTGCCTCTGTGCTCAGGGAGGCAGCAGTAACCTGTTCGCAGCTCGCTCCCTGGCTCCCTCTTCTCCCCATCTTCAGTCCCCCTACACGTGGGAATGGGCACAGAGGCCACTGTGAGTACCCCTTTAGCTTTCCCGAGAGAATGTGCAAAATCATGATGGCCTCAGGTTGTCTCAGTGGGGAAACAGGAGCCCAAGTTCCCCTCTGTGGCTTGAGGCAGAAAGGACTGAGGCAGCCAGGCCCTGAGCCACATCTAGCAGCCACACCCAGCAGCCACACCCAGAACCCCTGTGTCTCAGGGGTTCTTGACCTAAGATGCAGGAGCTTGGATGGGAGAGAAATGCCCCTATATTTTTACTAACCTCTAACTGAAATTTAGCACTACTTCAATGATGAACACAGGAAGCAGACCCCAGGGAACTGGCAGCACCTGCCACCAGGGGAGGTCACAGACGCTTTCATATCACATCGCAGTGTGGCAGACGTCGCAAAATATCTTTTATTCTCATCTGAACCAATTTACAGTAGTTATTAGACTCACCTTTGGATCTTGTTATTTAATGCATTTATATAAAACTACATAGCTGTTTTTATATCACAAGAAGTTTTAAAATTTTGATAACTATTTCAATATCATTAGTTTCTCTTAAAAGTCTATATGTTTTACTTTATGGACCTGAAATCATTATTCTGAGAGGGGATCCATAACATCATCAGACTTCCAGAAGATCCCTGGCACAAGAAAAGAAAAAAGAAAAAAGATTGTACACCCCTTTCTGGGCCTGGATTCCTGAACATTCTAAAACTGCATGAAAAAAACTGCGGGTTAGGAGTGTATGCATTTTTCTAGAGATGGTATCTGTAGCTCCTCTGGGCTCGGTGACCCAAACCAATAAGGAAATCGATTCTAGTATGATGCCCCATGAACACTGCCAGGACTTCAGGCAAGAAAGCAACACCCTGCTAAGGGGCAGCCAGGTCCAGACAGCAGGGCAGTGATGGCTTACCTGGCTTGAGTCACCTGGGAGGAGGGCATGGCAGAGAGGAAAGGGGAAGCAGATTTCAGTGGATCTGGGGCCAATTTGTCAACACTGTCTGACCTCAAGGGACCCAGTGGTCTGTTTTCATACTTGGAGGGATAGGAGGGAAAGACCTTTTAGAAACTGCTTCTCCCTGAGAAACAATATAGTTTTGCTCTTGAAAAGCATCAAAGTCTATAAACCAAAATAAAACTGTTCCAACATTGATGAAATAGACCAATTGACAATACTAACATACTTAGTTTTTTACTCTGAATACAATGGGAATAATGATAAATTCTCCATAATTTTGGTGCAATAATGTATGCTGGTGGATCCAGTTTGCCACATTCTCAAGATTAGGCAGGTTGGAGGCTGTCCTGTACTGCAAAGTTTGTGTCCTGCCGAAGAGCCAGGGGCCTACTGAGTGAGGGCTGTAATTGATCTATCCAGAGAGGATATCTGTTTGTAATTCGCACACAAGGGTCCAGATAATACTAGTAGAAGCCCTGGGAAAGTGAATTTTTGTTTTTCAAAAAAACAACAAGTAGGGTTCACACCAATGTTGAGATTCAAGCTTCCGTTGTTGCTACTGGGAGAAAGTGGTTAGTTCATTGGTGCTAATGAAGCCAATGTCCTCTCTTCACTTTATGCAAATAGCAAACGAAGACCCATCTCCTGGCCACTCACCTTTCACATTGTGTTCTTGATCCAAGGGTGCCCAGGTGAGAGGATCATTAAGACTCAACCCCATTGAATAAGCCCCTCACGGTACTTAACCACAGGGGGTAGCCCACCATCACGACATCTCCAACACCAGATTAAAATTAAAGATGTGTAAGGTAGAACTTGTATATATATTTAAAATTTCCAAGGCAACCTTGAAGGAAACTAGTTCCAGGAAGTTTATGACATCGTTGAGTGCATTTTTTCCTAAGGAGAAATGAAATCAAATGGAATTTGCAGTCCCCAAGGGATCCTTTAGTGGATCTAGGAGGCAGGAGGCAGGAGCATGGCATAGATACACCATGATATGCATGGGATGATGACTCAGCGGCACTCCCAAACTGTGCCACATCATACTCTGGACCCTGAGGCAAGACTGGGATGCCGCAGAAACGAAGCCTGTATCTGTGAACTGCAGTCAGCCGGCCCACATGTTCAGGTTGCCACTGACTCCTCAGATGATTTTTTTTTCTCTGACATTGTAATCCAGAACTGCCTCTTGAGTTTCATTCTCAAAATCCTTGAAGGCTATCAATTCAGCAGTGACCACATAAAATCTAATTTTTACGTGGTGTAATCAGTCAATCAAAATTTCCATTTTATTTCCTTTTCTTATAAGTAGACAACCCAAGTAGGTAGATAAACTCCTGCCACAAACTTCTTTTTATCCTTCTTTATATACCGTTTATATCAATTCTGATATTGAAACAAGTTGAAATAAGAAATAGAAGAAGTGACCAATTTAGAATCTCCCTGAAAAATAATGAGGCTTTTTTTCTATAGGAGAGCCATTTTTATTGTATTTACCTGTCACATGAGAGCATGAGGCTGATTTTCCTCATATGGGCTGTGTTTTGAATACATTCATATACACCCTACTTCCATCTATGATGTCTCCAAAAATGCTATTGAGTCCAAACTGTGAGAAAAGTAGACTGCTTTAGAGGCAGTGGCATAAAGCAGGCATTTTTTCACTTACTGCAATTCTGGCATAGTTTTTCTACATCAGTGTTCTACCACTGGCAGCATTGTCTTTGGCAACAAAAGACAATGAATGGCTGTTCATTGGCGTAAGGCCCACTCCTAGACCAATACAGGAACCAGCTGCCTTGGAGGCAGGTGAAAAGAGTTTGAATGACAACTCTTGGCACCTCTTCATCCCACTACAGATCCCTCCAGGCCTAAATAAAAACTCACATCACAGGAGGCTTCACAGAGGGTTTTTGGTGAGGCACTCAACAATCAATTCAAAAGTCATAGGGAATGTAATAGAAGAAGCTGTTAGTGAGAGGCAAAGAAAAAAAAAACAAACACTAGAAAAGCTAGCAAAATATTCTGGAAGTTTTTTTTCCCCTACTCCAAATTCAAAGGAGCACTGCAACCCACCATTGGACCAATACCCTTTTTAAAAACATTTCTCTTATACATTCAGGATTTGGGAAAATCATGTCTCAGATCTGGGTTTCCGTCAGCAGAAGAAAGAAGACTCATTTTTCATTT